AAACAAGCTAAAACTACCAGCTCTGACGTTACCATTTTCCTAAACAAGCTAAAACTACCAGCTCTGACGTTACCATTTTCCTAAACAAGCTAAAACTACCAGCTCTGACGTTACCATTTTCCTAAACAAGCTAAAACTACCAGCTCTGACGTTACCATTTTCCTAAACAAGCTAAAACTACCAGCTCTGACGTTACCATTTTCCTTTACCTTTTAATGTCTCCATGGATCAGCTTACAAGAAAGTGTGTGGAGGTAATTCAGACCTTTGGCTGTGCCCTCTGCAATATTTCCCCTCTGTAGCCATGTTAATGGTGGGGTGTTTTTCTGTGAAAAATGCAACATCAGATTTTAACATCAATTATGAATTACATGAAAATTTCAGTACTAAACAACAGGAGTTTAATTTAAAAGAAGAATCACGAGAGAAAGAATAAATACACTGACTTTCCTGTGATATAATTAATGAAAAGCCTAAATGTACATCAAAAAAGATGTAGAACTCCAAGTTTTCATTGATGAGACGTAACTTTTAATTATATAAATAAACCTTACTGATGAAATGTAACTTTTAATTATATAAATAAGCCTTATTGATGAGATGACACGTTATCCATCAGTGACGAAATACAAACATTACATTAAACATAAGTGTTATCCATCAGTGAAGAAATAAAAACATTACATTAAACACAAATGTTTTCTGTCTGTGAAGAAATAAAAACATTACATTAAACACAAGTGTTATATGTCAGTGAAGAAATAAAAACATTACATTAAACACAAGTGTTTTATGTCAGTGAAGAAATAAAAACATTACATTAAACATAAGTGTTATATGTCAGTGAAGAAATAAAAACATTACATTAAACATAAGTGTTATATGTCAGCAAAGAGAAATCGAGGAAACCTTGAGATGATTTTACACAGTAACGCATCTCACCTTGAGTAACAACCGATCTTCTAAAGAACCATTGACCATAAACTGATACACCAAACATGGCTCTGGCCCATCTAAGCTAACACCATAGAGAGGCAGGATGTTATCTATTCTACAGCTGTGAAGAAAAAAAACGTATTTACTGATATGTTCAAAAACTTCAAAATAAAAAGAACAGACGGTCCACTCTTTCATGTTCTATTCTATAGAGTGGGATACTACTAGGATTACCATGAATAAGGTTTCCAAAAATTAATTTAAAATCTATATAAGTCATAGCAAGTTGCTCTTTATATTTTTTCTTATCAATTCCAATAATTAGGTTTTCACAGAAAAAGGAAACCCTCATAATTGATGTAAATACTATCAAGTGTATTAACTCCCAACAGATTCTAGGCAAGAAATACAGGGAATCTAGCTGAAAATGTATGGATAATATACAACAGATAAAGAACATATTATATAGAAAAGACAACAAAATTAGAAACACTTTCCTTTCAAAATAGATCTAATATAACATACTCAACTCTTTGTAAAAGCATGGGAAAAACTAGGTGCAATATATATATATTACACACACAGACAGAATTTAATATTTCATCCTACCTGTACAGTATCTTCATCTCATTCAACGACTGCTTCAAGCTAACTTGTTGTCGTGAGGTGCTATCCTGACCTCTCTGAGAATAACAAGTTTGAAAACTTAATGTGATATTACATAGTATGTTTATATACGTGAACACCAATTACACATCAGAAACCGGTTTTAGGTTAACCTCAACACAATGATGTTCTTTTATTATTTTACGTATTTAAGTGGAATGTTACCCTCTCAATACATAAAAGTTTTGAACAAATAACTAGGTACTTGCCTTTTCTTGAGAAAAACCACACGTGAAAAGTCATTTACATATGCTGAGTGATGCATTATGATAAGGATACATTTAAGATTACAAATATTTAAACTATATTAGAAGTTACTGAGTTCATTCCAACAATTTCAGGTTTTCTGTAACATTTTTAATTCGACTTTCTTGGCCTTTCGCTGCCATCTTTTCAATTTGCTTCACAAGTGATCACATCATATTAAATATCTATTACTATACCTACTCAACACATTTTCATGTAATGTGATTTAATGTGGCCTTTCTCATGTGCTAAATAACGTGTGTAATTAGATCTGTACATGTGTTTACATAAGTGCACATGAATGCAGGGGTCAAATGTAAGTAATAATATTTTAAAAGTCAGTATGAAATCATGCACATTACAAAACCTCTTTGTACAGTAAAAGAAGTAAAACACAGAATAACTGACTGTAATACTTAACTCTACACCGTTCATTTAGCCAGACAGTTTATCTGTTCTTGATATTACAAGCCATATTAAGCGAGTGTCTGTATGAGTTAGTAGCAAAATACAAAAAACACTATATATACATCACGTAGAAGTTGGTTTTTATAGGTATTTCTTACTAAATTCTACCAGTTATTTCATCATACACTCTGTGAAGACTTTGTTAGTAATGTCAAAACAAAAACCAAGCATGCTTTATGTCTTGTTTTACTTCAACTTATAAACTGGTACTCACGGCCATAAGTCTCTTCACAGCTACAAAGTTTCCCTTCCATTCGCCCCTGTACACCACCCCAAAACCACCTTGTCCTAACACACGGCTCCGGTTAAATTCCTCCGTGGCACGGAGCAGATCCTTGTAGGGGATTTTCAGTGGTGTTGGCAAGGTGTCTTCTAAATTACTCAAGCTTGCATTTACTGAGCAAGTAAAACAAATATTAGGTAAGCAATACAAAGAAAGTTACTTCAGTACACCTAACAATCCACTTTCTAAAATCTAAATTATTTAATTAATCATTTTTAAGATTTACTTAAGTCATTGTAAAACAAATAAATAGAGATCAATATATATGAAATATTATATATATCTGTTTTAGATAAATCCAAAGAACAAAATGGTATAATTTATTCTCACTCACTAAATCAGATTTAATATCTTCCTACCAGTACTTGTTTACCTACTTCTGTCTTCTGTTCAATGACTAATTTAATCGACATAGCATGAGTGGTTACACATTACTTTTATGGCTGCCTTTTTTCTACACAGTGTGAGTGGTTACCTTTATGGCTGCCTTTTTTTCTACACGAGTGTGAGTGGTTACCTTTAGTGGCTGCCTTTTTTTCTACACAGTGTGAGTGGTTACCTTTATGGCTGCCTTTTTTTCTACACAGTGTGAGTGGTTACCTTTATGGCTGCCTTTTTTTCTACACAGTGTGAGTGGTTACCTTTATGGCTGCCCGGTAACCACTCACACTGTGTAGAAAAATTTATGGCTGCCTTTTTCTTTTTTCTCACTAGAGTGATGATCTTCCTTCCCGACATTCTGTACTTTCTTCTCGTGAGATACAGCCTGAGACTTTTCATGCTTGTTCTTGGCTCCATTACATAAACTGTTCCAGGCACAATTATCAGACAGCGACTGTTCCTCTATTATGTTACTATTAGCATTTTTTGGTTTTGAAGAACATGAAACCAATTCCTGGTTGGAAATCCTATAGGAATAACACTCACAGTTGATTAGTGCATTAAAGGATCATATTAAACTGTGTCCGAACTTTTCAAAATCCCGATTATACAGAATTAAACTACTAATATCATGAAACATTCTTTCAAGAAGGTATGCAATATTAGAGCACAACCAACTAATTGTAAAATAACACAAAATAAATGGCTAACCTTGAACTGTTAATATACCAGGGGTTTAGCTACTACCTGTTAACCCTCTCTACATGGGCTCGGTCAAACTGACCAATCACGTGACCCTTTTGTACTCTTTTAAAATTGTTATAGTTTTGATACTACTAAATTTTAATATATTATGTATATCTTCACCAAATTTGGAAGAATTTCGGTAAACATTACAAGTCTTTCACATACAAAAAGTTTTTAGTGAAGTATTTTTAATAAATTAAAAACTATTTGTCCATGAATAAATTGAGTATTTGTTTTGAATAGTCCATGTGCAAAGTGATTTTCATAGTAAGATTAAAAATATTAGGTCTTCAAGAAATTAATGTTGCGTTTTGGAACACTTTCATTAACCACCCCCCAAAAAATGTACATCATGTATAATAGTTAAACGAACCACCTAAGCATCACGTTAGTGTAGCTTATATAATGTGTAAAGTTTAGTATACTCTAATCCCTTGTAGTGATGGCACACATTTGGCATGTAATACTTTTTGAATAGAAAAAAGG